AACGGCTATATAGCCGTTTTGGGGGTGTAACGGCTAAAAAGAGGGAACCAAATGCGTCAAACGAATGACGGACCGCGTCTCACGCCTAGATGAAGCCGATGGGGGGCGGTGTTTAACGCCCCCAGCGTTAAAACCGGCTATCACGCCGGTGGGCGTGATGACCGTTTCCAGTGCTCTAAAACATTACTAACAAAAAGAACCCAACACTTATACTTTACATCAATATACATTGAAAAGTGCATCTCAATATCTGAAAAATCAATACTCTTGTACTCCCTCCGTCCCAAATTATAATACCTATTCACTATTCACAGGGTCAAACTTCATTCACTTTCTTTCTATATTTTCGTTAGCAATTTGATAAAATAAAATATTATTGTCACTACTAGTTTTGTAGATCTTTTGATCTAGTATTTTGATATGTAATTTTTATTTTTTTTACTCTATACCATTTGTCATATAAAATGATTTGAAAATAACTTCAGTCAAACATCGTAAACCGAAACAAACGTTATAAAATGGGACGGAGGGAGTAGTATAAAGTGAGGATTCACACATCAAAATGAACATTTCCACAAGTAAAATATTGAAATAAAAAACACAAGCAATAACATTGAATAAAATGAACATTATTCAGAGAAATAATGAGTATCTCATCCAAATAATTACTCCATATAAAATGTTATGAATGTTTTATGGAGTAATTTTTTGTAATTACAAAGCACGAGATAAGCAACACGGATATTCATATATATTTATATAGGGTCATGCATCCCAATAAAAGTTCATTATAAAACAGGCGGTTTAAATTGAGTCAAAAAGAGTAAGCCGCATAATGAATTACACTCTTCGAACCACGTACAAAATTCTGTAATTTTTAAAATGATTTTATTTACAAATTAGTATAGAAATAAAAAATTAAAAGTTGCATATCTAAAAAAGTTCTGCTCAAGATAAGATATTGACAAAAATATTTTATTTTAATAACAAGAAACCTATACACATTGCAATTTTAGTTGGTCTACTCCAACTATGAAGAGCCATAATAATAGAATGCACAACATGATCCCTTGTACATATGTATCTATGTTTCCGGCGGCTTGTCGGGTAACATCGGAATCCTCCTAATCATATGTTTCCAGCAGCGCTCAAAAATGCTGTCGTATATCAGATCAAATTGAAGCCCGGCCCTCTCCCGGTTCAAAATGAAAAGAATGTGATCCCCTTCCACAATCTTATAGTACCTGCATCCGTAGGGTACAAGTCATTTCCGATTCGCTGATGCACACTCAGCAACAACAAAAAACCAGTAAAGTCCCACAAGAAATACAAAAATGCTCGGATAACACCAAGATGTTAACACCATAGATGACACCGTATGTCAATTTGTACACGCACTGATGATAATTGTCTGTGAAAGACTATTA